CATGAACAGTACCATTTTGGTGGGTAGAATCATGACATGAATTAATGTGAACAGTCTAAGACTCTATCTGACTTATGCTGATGTTTAGAAGGCATATGTTAGAGTTGAAAATTATATGCAGCACCATTTTCAGAGTTCTACAGGTGAAGTCCAGAAACTGCTTTATCAAGTCTGTATCAGAGATCCTAAACTTACTACTGGAAAACCACACCTGAAACCCACTCCTTAAGAAGCATCCCTTTGGAATTCCTTTTTTATGTATGTGCTTACCATCATTAATACAGAAATACCCACAGGTGTTGGGAACAAATCAGGCCCTGCCAGCCACCAGGCACAGCACAAAGAACACCACCAGGTTTCTTCCCTGAAGGCCTTGCCTACATCAAACAGGACTGAGCATTCAGACTTTTCATACGAGCCTTCCAATGAATGAAACAGAGTACTACACACCTCCGCAGAGCGTTCCCACGTCTCTCAGAGGGACAAAACAGAAGAAGGGAAGAAAATGAGAAACGCTATGCATCTCCTCTCTGCAAAACAGCTCTTATCAGAGCCATTTCAAGAATTTCTACTCGACAACTAAATTGACTGGAATAATGGAAACCAACGTCCCAAATATACTATATATGGAATCGAGCCCAGCCAGCCCCCGCAAAGGCACGGGGCACCAAAACCTCACACCTCAGACACTCGGGTACTCATCCTCAAATGGCGGAGTCTCGCCCGCCGCACTCACACCTGTCACCTGCCAGGCGCCGGGCCAGCCCCTCCCTCTCTCTCCCCCTCCCTCCAGCAACCAGGCGAGCCCGCTGGCAGCTCCCGCCCCTCCCCGGGCAGCCGCAGCCCCCCGATCCCTCCCCGCGTCGGGAAGCTCCAGCGACTCGCGGAGGAAAATAAGTTTCCATCTCTGCCTGAACGCCCCGCTGCGCGGAGGCTTCCCGTGCCGTCCCTTCGCTCCCAGCACGCCGGCAGAGCGGGGTGCCGGGCTGCTCCCTCCCCGCGCACAGGCCTTCCCCGTCCCCCTCACCCTGGCGCAGCCCGGGGCGCGCTGAGCGCCCGCGGGAGCCCGGCCCCCGCCCTGCCAGCCCCCGCGCCTCTCCCTGCAGCACCCGGGATGGGACCGCGAGCCCGGCCCGGGGAGTCGCCAAGGCCCGCTCGGCGGGGTCAGCCTTACCCTGCTGCCGCTTCTCCTCCTCCTCCTCCTCCTCCTCCTCCGCCGCCCCCACAACCAGGGCAGCAGCCGCCGCCACTACCGCCGCCACTACCGCCACCAGCGCCGCCGCCGCCTCCGCCCGGCAGGGGGGACCCCGCCGACCCGACCCTCTCCGCAGCCTCCCGCCGCCGCCGTTCCGCTCCGCGGGGGGAGGAGGCGGAGGAAGGAGGAGCAGGAGGAAGGAGGGCAGGGGGGTCCGTGCTGCCGCGGCGGCGGGCGGGGCGGGGTGTGGGTGTGCGGGGTGTGCGTGCGGTGGCTGTGGCGGCGCCGCTCCCGCTCAGCCGGAGCCGCCGCTGGGGCCGCGCGCCGCTCCCGGCCCCCTCCCCCCGCGCTCTCTGCGCTCCGAATCAAAATAGAGCGACAATATGGCGGCGGCGGCCCCAGCATCGCGAGACCGCGCCGCGAGCGCTAACGGGGATGCGCCGCGCGCCAATGGGCGCCGGGGCGGGCGGGGGCGTGGGCGGGGGGGAGAGCGCGGGCGGCGCCTCCGCCGGCTCCGCCCTCAGGGCGGGGCGCGGGCGGGAGCGCGGCCGCCGCCTCAGCGCTGCCGCCGCACCGGGACGGCCGCGGCACCTCACCGCGGAACAGCGCCGAGCTCGCCGCGGCGCCTCACCTCGGGACAGCGCCGAGCTCGCCGCGGCTGCTCACCACGGGACAGCGCCGAGCTCGCCGCGGCTCCGTCCTGCCCTGCCGCCACCGCTCCGCCTGCCCCCCGACACAGGAGGGAGCGGGGCAGGCGGTGGCGCGTAGCCGGGCTGCCCGCCTGGAAAGCAAGCCGGGTCTGAATGGGCTGGGGAAGGAAGGGCAGCATCTGCACTGGAAAAAAAAAATAAATAAAAAAAAAAAGAAAAAAATTAAGAAAATTAATTCAGCCCTCCCTCCCCCCGCCCTCCAGTTTATAACCAAAACGGTTATTTCGAGGGAATTGCCAGACGCTTTCTATCAGAAATAGGAGCGCTTGCTCCACATTACTCAGAGTTCGTGATTTCCATCATCCCTCTGAGGCAGAGCTCTGACTAATCATCTCCCAAAAATGTCGCCGGCTGACATGGCCCGGTATTCTGGTGAATCCCTCTTCCCCTGTCAGCTCCACCAACACCCTGGCCCAGTTCACGACAGACATCCTTCATTTTAGTGGGGAGTCCAAGTAGGTCTTTGTATTTCTGTAATTTGGGGAGTTTCAGCTTCAATGAAAAGACAACTTTCTCATGACATTGTAAAATCATCCAGTAAATCAGCTGAGTTTCAGGGTTGTGATACCTTACAATATCTACTCCTTATTCTTCCTATACTTGCTTTCTTCCTGCATCTCTTGAATCTTCCTCCTTCCTCCCTGCAATGAGCAGGTGCTGCCCATGTTGTCTAACAGTAGTCCATCTATCCATCCTTATGTCATCTTACTCTGAAAAGTACTGTCAGACACAAATAATTTTAATGCAATCTTTATCATCTACAGCAGAGGGAAATTGCCAGAAACCTTGCAACCTAGAATGGGACCTGGCAAGGAAAGGGATGTGCTGAAGCTTTCAGCTTTTCCCATACAGTGGGGCTGGAACCAATAGAGAGAAAGGTTTTCTCCACCACTTTAACTCTCAGAGGCACCAGTGATTTCCGGCATGTGCCAGTGTGTGTGAAAGGTGCTACAAAAGGGCCAGGCCATAATCATCTCAAACATTAAAACTATCCCTTGCACTATCCATTTCAGGGGTGTGACAAGAGAGAGCTGCACTTTCTTTGCAAGACCTCAGCTGTTAGACCGGCCAGTTAACAATTGCAACACTTAATGACAGAAATTAATAAAAAATCTAGCATGCTGTAGGCAGGAACTAAATTACTCATGACAATTTAGGCTAAGTGTTCTGTTACAAGAAATAAAGACAACCTTGCCATTGAAACAATGGGTATTTACAGAAATTATTGGAAATGCATTTTCCAAATGAAAGCATTAACACATGAAAAAATCCCTCTCAACTACATTTAGTTAAAGCTGTCAGAATCCTGAGGGAAGCAACTGCAAGGATTGACTGCTTGGAGTAGGCAGGGAGAGAGAAAATACCAAGGAGTCTAATAGTGAGTTGTTATGCTGTGATGGGGAAAAAATAGAAAAAAGGGGAAGAGGAAGACAGCTTTTTTCCCCTCATAAAATGTGGAAATATGGGGGGGGGGGGGGGGGGGGGGGGGGGGGAGGGTGTATGTATGTACATTCCGGTAAGAATCAGTTGCTTTCATAAGCTGCAACAGAGAAGTCTGCAGTTCTTTTGTACATCAGCAGCATGGAGCGGGAAATGCCCATGTCCAAACCTTTTTACTGAGCCTGTCTTGTGTCAAGCTTATACAGTGTTGAGAGTCACTGAGATTTGTTTGTTCATTGTAAACAAAATAGTATTTCCCTAAACAAACAGAAATTATTATAGTCCATTACAAAAATGGGGCACCTAGAAAGAAGGTGCAGTGGGAACATCTGGTTACAGCTGCACTGGATCTTGCCCCATTCCAAATGTTCAAGTACATTAATCAAACCTTTCTCTTTTTCTACCTGTGCTGTATACAATTCCTGGTCTGCCTGGTCATTGCTCAAGCACCCTGCTCTTCAGGTCTTCCAGCACAACTGTTTCACACTTTGTTAAGCCATTCCTGACCTTTCAGACAGATAGGACAATAAACTTACATGAATGTGTTTTGTGTGCAAGAAACTCAGTTTATTTTTCTAAATTTAATACCAAGTTAAATATTTGACCCTTCTGCCTACAGATGCTAAAACAGGGATTTACCACAGGAAAGTGAGACCATTTCTCACTGTGCTATCAGCAGAATTTACTGCAATGCTTAAGCACTGGGATCATGTGAGTGAGCCGCACAGTCCCTCCCCTCTTTTTCCAGGTTCCCCACACCACATCTATGTCTGAGTCCATTGCTAAGTAGCTCTTCTCCTACAGCAGCTAATTTTGAATCAGTTTTTAGCACCTTTCCAAAATCAAAGAACAATTATTTAGGAAATCAGGTTTTTGTAGTGCAATTCAGAAATTAACTGTTTTCCTGTGTATCTGAAACAAGAACTAGGCAGATCTATCTAATAATACATTCTGTGTGTAACTTACCATCAAAGCTCTGTCACCAGTGAGGCACAGGCCTTACTTCTTTCCCTTAAAATTTTAGAGATTACCCCCCCCTTTTGCCATATAAGGTATGAGTTCTTCTTTTTTAAATCTTCATCAGACTGTTTATATTTTTCCCTGCTAGAAAATGTAATTTTCAATAGGTTTGGGGAATTATTCTAAACATATTGTACAGAAAAGTTATTTCTACAAAGTACAATCCATTTCATCAGCTTGCTACTGACAATTCTGATGCTCAAATTTCTTGAGAATGCTCTTTAGAAAAGGGAAGAGGAGGAGTCCAGTTAAAATCCACAACTGGCATAATTATTTCCAAAATCGAGTTTAAAAGTCATCTTCCACAGCAAAAGAAGCACTGACAGCATTGGCAGCTTTAAAGACACTTTTCCATTGAACATTCAACTGGCAACTTATTTTTTGTTCTTCTAGATAGGAGGTCTGTCAGTCCTCCTATTGGAAGGGTGACAAAAACAGGAGTAGCATTCACTGGCCAAGGACAGTCCTTGCAAGCTCCTAGCCTGAGGTTGCAACCACAGCGTCTCCTACAAAAACAATTAGAATTTGAAGTAATAACACGACAAGGAAATACAGAAATTTACCTTATTTCACAAGAAACTTCAGGCACTGTACTTCTCCCATTCCATGTGGAAATTACCAGCTGTGTGCAGTTACAAAAAGCTGTTGTGCCCTGATGTTTTTCTTTGCGATCTGCAGAACACAAACAGCTCCTGTTATTAATGTTGAGACTCCCTTCTTTTCCAGGTTGCTGCCGGCCTTTCTTCAAGATAGCACCAGCCTTTTCACTTCCTAACAGCTCATCTGTTTGGGAGTGGAGCGCAAACATGACATTTGCGATAAGGATGTGATTAAGAGGTGCCTCAGTGGTTCATGAGTTCTAGCAGCTTCACAAGATTTGGATAAGGCCTTCACTGAAGGCAAATCCACTGAGATTTTGAGGGCTCATTTTAGTCCTCAAAAGCCTGAACCTACCCAGGCTTTTCAGTTGTAAAAGCATAGGGATCTGTGTTACAGCAGAGCATTATTGTAGTCTATGTATTAAAATGACATACAGCATGTTTTGAGACTTGGTAAGGCTTCTTTTAATGCATTAGAAAACCCACACTTGTTTATATTGATCACGAGCATCATAGGAAAATATTTACACTTGAAGAAAAATATATTTGTCTACCCAAAGCAATTCTGAATTTTTTTTCAATAATTGTTTTAAAAAGTGGGAAAGATGGTCATATTAAATCAATCTTTCAAGTAAGTAGGGAAATGTGCATCCTTGACATATCTTTCAGTGCTCTGAATAAGAGAATTAAAAATGTGTGAATAAAAGCTCAAATGACACACAGTTGGGTCAATAGCTACTAGGGAGACAAATATAGTATTACTTAATGCTACCATAAATCTTTTTTTAAAAGCATTTTTTGATAATTCAATGACAAAATATAAAAAGCCAACACCATTTGAGGCTTCAAAATACTTCAGGAGAAACAATGATTATGTTTCATCCCAAATCCAGTGTTTCCTATGCTTTGTGGGAAATGGAGTAGAAAGTAATGATAACAATTTATTCCCCTTTTCTTAAGATTTATGTAATACTGGTATAGAGTTCCTACATGTCTCTAGGGTCTTTATCAGCAAGACACCTTTAGTCTCTTGCTAAAGTCCATCTTTATTCAAATACCTTTCAATCACTTGCTTAAACTTTATGCTGTGTTGAAACCTGAGACAAAGAATGGGTTTAAGTCTTTCTGGACAGGTATAACTTGCTGAGTTGAGACAGGAAACCTACCTTGAAGTCCAAACAAATGACTTGCCTGTTCCAGATACAAATCAGGCATGAATGTTTTCATAGTAAAAACCCTTGCAGAATGTCTTACAGCCCTTTCTTTCTCTAGCTACTGATTTTAACCTCTTCTGTCTCAGTGACTTCAGCCAAATCCCTTCCCTTTACACATTTGTAAATGTGAGAAGTGAGAGTGAAAACTGCAAGATATTTAATCTTACTATATATGTTAACACACAAGGTGCAATAATTATATTATGTTTAAATTTCCCTAAATGTGAAGGAGGCTGTTTGTAGCTGGCTAGTATATTTTTAAAAATAACCCAAAGTACTCTCTAAGCCTAAATGTTTCATGGTATTAGATTTCTCTGTCTTCTTCTGGCCTTCTGCCCCACCGCTGTAATTACCTTAACTTATCACCCAATAATAAAACTCTCTGAACAAATCCTGTGCCTACTATTAAGGAAAATTAAAGCTTAGCACAAATTCTCTGCATTCTTTCTTCTCTTCATCTGCAGTACTTGACAGTTTGCATGGTACAAATGAAACACGCAAAGCCTTTAAGCCATCCCACATAAAAAAAAAAAAGGCAACTCAGATTTTTGTAATGCTGATAGGTATTAGACCAAGTCAGTTTTTAAGAAGAGGGTACTGGGTCTCCTTTTGAGCGGAAAACTCATTGGCGTAACAAAACAATCAATCATGTGAGCTTATATACGCACTGTACTGTTTTGTTTCCTTCTGGGTCTTATGCAAGCCCTTGTAAGGAGAAGGCAGATTATTCCAGGTCCACTGTGTCCCAAGTCTGTCCGAGATTGCCAGCAGAAGTGAAAATTGTGGGAATACATTTCTCTATGTAACCAGTTGTCCCCTAGCTACTGCATCAGAATCCTCAAGTTCCTGTTATACTTGTGTGACTTTTGAGTTCCAAACTGAGCTGCATTTCAGTCATAATCTCCTGTGCTTTCAACCTTTCTGTGGGAAAAGATCACTTGTGTGCATCCACAATTAAAAGTATTTCAGTATCACAGAACAAAATATTAAGAAATACTAAACTTCCAAATCATCAGCTTACTAGCATGAAGAAAGATCACCTCTTTTCCAAGGTAAAATTCTTAATACAACTAGGAAAACCAATACAGAAAATACAGTAATCATTTGTGAAAACAATCAGCTACCACTGTACCTGTTTTCAGCTACTACATTGTCATGTATTGGAGGAAGATGAAATTGTGGGAAGTTTGTTAGGAGATGCGTGACATACATATTTAAAGAAGTGCATTAATCTCCAAAAATTTTAATGTTCACTTGTTGGCGCTTTTTTCATCTCAAGATCTTCTGATAAATAAAAAAAAATCTTAAAACTACACAAAAATCTGTTCTTCCGTCACGAGGGCATCCATTCTGAAAAACGCACAAAGCCTTCTAGACCATAACCCAGAAACTACAACCCCAGCTAAGCCAAACACAAATTTGTACTTAGATTTAGGCATAGGAAAGTTTTGTTGGCTTTATTCAACTCGCTTAAAATTAAGCATATGTTTTAACACTTTACTGGATTAGAGCCTATGTCAGCAAAATAAATTTCTTGGGAAGAAGTAATAAAAATGTAGCTTGCAGTGAGGGACAGCAGAGCCATTCACAGTTACAGAAGCTTTAAAACACTAGCTGGTATTTATACATTTAGAAAAGAAATCAGGTGTGAAACAAAACATTTTAAATAGCAAACTAATTAGTCTGCTACACAATCACTTTTAAAAAAATTTCATTTGAAGAAAAACACTTTTTTCATCCTTGTGCCCCCAAAAACAAATTGATTTGCACATCAAGGAAAAACGTTTTTTGCAAGCACAAGTTTCAAAAGCAATTTCCCCACTGTTTAGTAACAGCTTGGTTGTTCCAGATATACCATTTCATTCCCTGGAGAAGAGGACTGACAGGAGGCCAAGCTTTTTAAACACAGTTTCATTACACACATGCACTTGAATTTGCTCATTCAACTTCACATAATTGTATATATACTATAAACATCAGCTAACTAATTCTCTTGTCTGCATTGTGCACTGGTGTGTATTTATTCGTTATGCTAAGAACCTCTCTGAATATTTGATGTTGTAGGTCTATCCTTTAAAGAGAGCTTACATCATTCTCAAAACCAGAAGGAGTACAATTCTACCAGACTGTGTCCATGCTAATTTTAATTTTTCCAGCAAAACCTTTCTGTTGCTAACAACACAGTGGGGCAAAGTATGAATTCTAGTGTAGCCATTTGCTTCTTTGGCATTTAAGGCACAGGGCTATCTGTTGTTCTTCAGGGCTGCTCTATCTTGTGTGAAAGGACCACACACCCTTCAGGAAATCTAGACCTGGGAGGGGCAGAGCTGGAGTTGCCCTCTGTGTGACAAGGCAACACTTGGATTGAATTGAGCTCTGTCGTAGGTGGATGATGAGCAAGTCAGGGACTTATAGGCTGAATTTAAAGAGCAGACTGGTAAGGGTGGGACTGTGTGGTGTTTGCTGCAGGCCATCTGATCACAGGGAGGAAGTAGGTGAGGCCTTTAACAGACAGCTGGAAGCAGTCACAAAGGCATTGCTACTTGTGGGGGACTTCAACCACCCTGACATCTGCTGGAGGAACAACATGGCAAAGCACAAACAGGAGGTTTCTGGAAATTGTTGGCCACAACTTCCTGACACAGGTGGTGGAGGAAAAAACGAGTAATGGTAAGCTGTTCGACTGTGTATACTGACAGGGAAGGCTTTGTTGCAGATGTGAGGGCTGGGGGCAGCCTTGGCTACAGCCACCATGAGATTCAGTATCATGCATGGCAAAGGTAAGGGCAGCAAGTAAGAATGCAACCCTGAAGTTCAGAAGAGCTAACTTTCAGCAACCTTCTTGGAAGAATCCCACAGGAACTGGCCCTGCAGAGAACGTGGCTAGTCAATATTCAAGGACTACTTCCTCCAAGCTCAAGAACAGTTCATCCCTAAGAGCAAGGATTATAGAATCGTACAGGTTGGAAAAGACCTCTTTTGCAACCTGGATAACTGAGTCCAGTTGTTAACTATCACTTGCAAATCCAGCATTAAACTTTGTCCATAAGCAGCAGATCTACACATTTTTTTGAACTTCAAGGGGCAGTGATTCTGTCACTTCTATGAGCAGCCTGTTCAAATCCTTGACCACATTTTCACTGAAGAAATCTTTCCTAATATCCAATTTAAACCTCCACTGGTGCAATTGAAGCCATTTCCTCTTATGCTATCACTTGTTAGCAGGGAGAAGAGATCAATCCCCCACCTATCTACAGCCTCATTCAAGATAGTTGTAAAGTGTGGTAAACCTCCATTTCTCCAGACTAAATAAATGCTGCTCCTTATTGGACTTGTGCTCCAAATCCTTCACCAGTTTTATTTGCAGAAGTTGGTGTGTGAGAAGTTTCACCTGAACGTGAGGAAGAACATCTATACTATGTGGGTTACTGACCACTGAAACAGCTTGCCCTGAGAGGTTGTGAAGTCTCCTTCCTGGTGGTATTCAAGAAGGGTCTGGACACAATCCTGTGCCATGTGCTCTAGGATGACTTTGCTTGAGCAGGGAGGTTTGACCGGATGAGCCTCCGTGGTCCCTTCCAACCTGACCCACAGAGTGATTTTGTGATTCTGTATATTGAGGCACCAGCGGTCACAGCAGGACTCTGCATTAACTCTTAGGCACTTCCCAGCAGCAGTTGAGCTCTACCAGCAGCTCTGTCACTAATATCCTTGCATAGAAAATGTATTAGGCTTCCACAATAAGTGTCATCTACTCCTTTAGCATTGCTTCACACTTGAATCACCAAGCAATGCTTGTGCATTGTATTTTCTGCCTTTTCAAAGGGATAAACCTTCATTCAGAAGATATCATAATTTG